ATAATAATAATGAAATATTAGAAAATATTCTAACAAGAAAAACAAAAAGACAAGCAATTATAAAATGTATAACTCATCCACCCCCCTTGAAATAAAATTCTTATGGTGCATTTATTTTCATTGAATTCAATGCAGACAAGAGCTAAAATATACGCTTCATAACCTTTCCAACGAGAAAAAAATATGTCAAACAATTATGAAATTTATAATTGAAACCCCTTCCCTTCTAACTTTCTAATCATCCTCTCCCCTCCCCCGATTAGTACTCATTGAAATAAAATTTTTATAGTGCATTTATTTTTATGGAATTCAATGCAGACGCGTGCAAAAACATGCGCTAAAATAACCTAACCTTAAATATTACATTTCATCACACATACGAGAGAAAGGGGGTAAAGAGAGGAAAAATTGATGAGAGTGGGGGGTTGGGAGTAAAGTGGGGGTAAGGGTTGTGGGAGTAGGGGAACCAGAAATATCTACTACGAGAGATAGATTCGCCGATAGTTAGATATGCAGATTGTAAATGGTAATTGGTTTTCGTTGATTATTTCACCAGCCGCCCCTGCGCGTTTCTACCAAAAACGTTTTCTCTCTCTCTCTCTCTCTCTATCTATCTATCTATCTATCTATCTATCTATCTATCTATCTATCTATCTATCTATCTTTCTCTCTTTCTCTTTCTCGTATTCTACATGCAACGACAAAATGGAAAATAAACGTTTAACAGATGCTGCTGCAACTACCTGGATAGAAAATATTTGTCACATAATTCCATTGTCCACCGTTGCTTGGGTTTTTTATTTTTTGTACCTGTTTTATGTTTTTTTATACGCTCTACTACTGCACGCGTGTGTAGTAGTACATGTATGTGTATGTGTGTAATTTTATATAAAATTTCACAAGGCAAATGGATCGTTAACGTTCTTCTTCATTTTTCAATTTTATCGAACAAAACAACGTTGGTCTCGTTATCTTTTTTTTATACGCATTTAGAGGTGTGGGGGGACGTATATTTTAATTTTCAATAAAATTCTAACGCGTGAAATATTATTTTGGAATACCTTTAAAAAAATCAATCGAAGAAGATTTGTTTTTTTCCTATTTTTCTTTTTTCTTTTTTTGAGCCCCAATTTTATTTCGAGCAATCGAATATTTTCTTTTTCTTTCATGTTTTTGTTGCTTTTTGTGTTATTTATCACAGGATTTAAAAGAAAAAAATTTAAAAAAATGTTGAAAGAAGAATTGAAAAGATTGTTACAGTTCTATTTTTCAAATAAAAGGAAATGTTACGACTATTGTAATATTTTTTCTAACAATTTACAGAATCATATTGATTGCTACTGTAATGATAGAAAAGAAAAATAGAAAATATACCCCAACTTCCTGTTTTCTCGAAGGATGAATTGTGTGTGTGTGGGGCGGGGGGGGGGTGTGTGTGTTCGTTTCTTTTATTGTGTGCAACGCAATAAGAGAGCAAGTTATTGTTCTATTTTTATTGTAAGGTTTTTATGGATTTCACATTAAAACTTTATGGTATGAATTTCTTCATTTACGTAAACAACTTTCGGTACAGAAAAGAGAGAGAGAAATAAACGGGAAAGTACAATTGACTTTATCTACAAATTATTTTGCTACCTAAAATTTATATTCAACTTTTTCTATTATAAATAAATATTTATTGCAAAATAAATTAATAGAAACTTCTTGAAAAAAAAAACATTGTAAATTGCAACTCCTTAAATATGAAATAAAAAAAAAATAATAATCTTGGATAATTGTTTTATTGTGATTTAAAAAAAATTAAAATAATAAAACAGCAAATATTTTTAAAAATAACCTAAATCACACACACACACACACACACACACACACGTATCATGCAATAAAATAATTTAGTTTGTTTTTAATTTAAAAATTTACCGTGATGATCATCGATACAATTGTCATAGATGAAAAAAATAAAAATAACAAAATAATAATCCACAAATTTAACCCGCACCCCATGTTTAATATATAAATTCTATATTTTTTCTTTTTTTGATTGGAAACACTTTAACACCACGAATGATCCAAATAGAAAGAAGATGTTCAATTAACTGTATCATGACAAAATATTTCTGTAAGTTGTTTGTTTTGAAGTCCTCCTTTTCAAAAAATGCTATCATCTGCTTAGTCTCAGCGACGGAACCAGACGCCCCCGTTGATGTTGCTTCTGCTTTCTTCTTATGGGGGTTGTCATATATGCCTACTTCGAATAATTTCTATGTTACAAAGCAATAAATAAATTCTCGCAAAACTCACACGAATAAAATAACATACAAATACATATTAATATTTAGAAACGTTTAAAAATTAATCCTTGAACCTTCACCCCTACTCAGTCACCCTTTTCAATACGATATACACATTATTCTTTCAATTTGTTTTAAATTTGTGAGTACCCTCTCTCAATGAAATATAATTTCATCATATAAGTTTTCTTTTTTATTGTTTTTTTTATCTTCTTTTATATAAACGTATCGAATTTGATGACTCGATAATATTTATCACCATATAACTTAAAAAATCTAATAATAATAAACACAAGTAAAAGATTGTACATTTCTGTACAATCAATAAATAATGAGGTATGAATTTTAATCTATTGGACTGAAAAAAAAATAAAAAACTGCGATGCGGAGGATCTTCCTATTAAAATTAAGAGCTCATATTTGGTGAGAATTGTTTTAAGGTGTCTAGCAACCCATTTTTCAGTGGCACTTGAAAAAAAAAAAATAAGTCATCTTTTTGAATCACCCTAATATATATATATATATCACACGCTCAAGTGAGAAGTCGATAAATTTGAAAGATTCTCAAAACGTTTTTCACACCGAAGCAACCAATTATAAGGAGTTTGCTTATTCCCTTTGAAAAAAAGAAAAAAAAAATAAATATATATATACCCAGATATTCTCTCCGCCACTCGAGGTAAGAAAATTTGTAAGATTCTATCGAACGAAATATTTCTAAACAAAACACAACCTAAGATGTATCATCTTTCTTTTTGAACTCTCATAAAAAAGAAACAAGAAAAAGAAAAATATATAAAACCAATTTATTTAGTATAAAAAAATAAAAATAAAAAAAAAATAAAAAATATATATATATATATATATATTATATTATATTATATTATATTATATTATAT